CAATATTTATAATGAATTTTAATAATTTTTTCGGATTTTTTTGAAATTTTATTGTGACCGATTCACCCGATTTCCGATCCGTACCGCCAATTCGCCAATCCGTATCGCCAATTTGCCGATCCGGATCGGTTTTTAGGGTGCCCGATCCGGATCACCAATCCGTTTTTTAAACCATTGGCCCAAACAAATTCTTCGAGCTAGGTGCTCGTGTTACTAAAAGGATACAATGGTTATGAAATTTTTCAACCACAACATACTTTGGAAGGCATAAAAATTTCACCCCGTGCATGATGGGAAAATTGTATGGTATGAAATTTGATCCACAGCCTACATTGGAAGGCACAAAATTTTATTACTCCGTGAATTATAGGAAAATTGTCTTATTATATAAATAAAATTATGCTAATATCCCTTAATTTGAGGTTACGGAAGATTTTGCCAAAAAATTTTGTATTTTATGCATGATCTTTTATTTTTTTTTCTTTTAATATCTGAAGTCAAGCTGTCATATAAGGTCAAATGTAACTTATGATATTTAAAATCATTTGACTTTGGATTTTGAAGCGTCAAAAGTTAAATTCGATTTTGAAGTGTCAAAAGTTAAATTCTTATATACAAAATCAAATATGACTTCAGATCTTGAATATCCAATAATTTTAAAGCCTTTTGTACAACCTTAAAGCATTATTTTCCATATGGTGAAGCGGATTTCAAGCCAAGAGCTTACGGCCCAAGAACCTAAAGTCCTATGCTCATATGAAAAGATTCGATCTTTTAGCATGATTTTTTGGCCCAACGTATTGTATACCTTCAAACTAAACATAGACCAAAGCCCAGACCAAGCTTGCCTAACGGTGTTGGCATTTTTAGTTTTAAAAAATACAAGTTAGCATTACAAATAGTATTAAATATGGTTTTTCAAAATTCTTAATTAGTAAAGAGAGCGGACGAGTTTAATCCCATGTTGAAAGATAGAATGAAGTTTAAGTGGTGCTTATACGGAATGACTCCTATTTTATGTTCATGACATTTAGGTGTATGTGCGAAGCATGCGTCGGCATTCAAAGCGGCACAAATGCACGGGGTCGCTGCTTGCCCAATTTTTACGAGACGCTCCAATTTACATGAGACAAGACCTAAGATCGAACTCCCCATTCGAAGGGTCACTTTAAAAAGCCACCTCTTTCTTTAAATAGGGATTCGAATTGCCCATTCGATATACACTTTTGTTACTCCTCTCTCTCCTCCATTCAATATACACTTACTGGCCTTTTGATGCTCTCTGTGACTTCTGTTTTCAGATATTCCGAGGATAAAACTTCTGCTTTCAGATATTCCGACGATCGTTTTATGGCCAATCAGCTTATCCAATTCTAACCAGCTTGTGGGGCTGAGAGCAACTTTTTTTTTTCATATTTTATATTCTTTCTTTATTTTTGTAAAATCGATTCCAACAACTCCGACAACCTGAATCAGATTTTAATTAAGAAAAATTGTTTGATTGGGCTGCAACCGGATAAGTAAAGCCTCCCTTCATAACTCAATCCAAAAATACAATTATAGGAAAACCTTTAACATCGATCATCAATACTTGAACATTATAGTTTTGTCAAAAAAAAAAAAATTGAAGCTCTACAAATAATACATATTATAACACATTATCTAGATCTTCGCCTTAAAAATTAATGTTCACATATCCACAAGATCTGCACCATTTTTTTAATTTCAAATTTTATTATTGATGTTAGAAATTGATTTTAAAGCGCCTATCATGGAGATTTCTTTTGCCTTCCCGGATGAGGATTCAAGGAAAGGCTTTACTTTGTTTTCACAAGGCCTTAGGCTTTATAGAAACCACAATCCTTTAATTAATACACACCCCTATTAATGATTCAGTGGCAAAGATTTAACCACGATCAAACACTGGCACTAAACACCATGAACACCTACCAGACTTTAGTACTTGTCTTGACATCCTGCATCTCCAACGACTCGATCGCTGCATTTTTCTCTGTGTTTCTTTTCTAGATTGCTCACTCGATCGATTCATTTCTCTTTGTATTTCTTTTATAGCTTGCTCAGATTCGAACTCATAACAACATGTCCACCTAAAAGCTTGCTTCTTCCAAGAAGAAAGCTTAAGAGCAAAAACAAGTGACCTCAAAGGTGCAATGACCAACAATTGACTAAAAATCATGACCAGAGCCTTTTCCCAAAGGTCGGCAAATGATCTGACTACATACCATTGACTTGATAATTTTATTATATATTTTTCATGAAAAATGTCCCGTTTCATTTCTCTAGACTTTCACTAACAAATAAGAGGCATTGCTTTATTAAAGACACAAGGCATTTATACATGGTAAACCGTGCTTTAGTACTTCCGAGCCTGTTGCTTCCTTGATATCTTTAGCATCACATGCAAACAACTCGTGGGTCACTTTGTGATCAAAATACATCTAGCCACTAAAACCATGATGAGAAGCCACATTCAAAATCCCATGTTTATAGGTTCTTCCACATACCTCCTCACAGGCCTTGCTCATCACCTCCAAAGAGATGCCTTCATTGCAAATGTTTGCAAACGCTCTCATGTGTTTCATGCCATATTGGGTGAGTGGTCCACATTTCTCTTCAAATGCTCGAACCTTTAACATCAAAATAAAACTTGTCAAAAGCTTGTATGATACACTCTTAAATGCAAATTTTCAATAAATTTGGATCAAACTCTAGTTTCTAAGAGGGAAAAGAATGAAGTTTCAGGTGTCAGACTAAACTTCAGCTTACAATTATAATTTTCTTAAGTTTTAAACTCGGAGTGACAAAAATCAGACATGACACAATGGTGATTTAGAGAGAAACTAAACCATCATCTAGGCTAATTCAACAAGATATTACAAGTGAAAATTAATGTAAATATCTTTTCTCGTTACGGCATTAAAAAGATATCCCATTATTCGTGCATGTCCTTTTATTCGGGTTCTTCATTTTTCCCCCAAATTTCCGCACCAGGGTATTTCTTTTTCTGGGTGAGTTTATATTATGAACCTCAAGTTCTGAACCGGTTACTTGTGGTTTTTTAGTAAAATAACGGTTTGGAAGTCATGTAACTCGCCCCTTAAAAACAAGTGTTATAGTGGACTCCCAAAACATAATCCCTACCCCTTAAAAGGAGTATAGTGTGCTCCAAAACATGATCCCTTGAGTCAATGACTTGGTACATTGGAAATTTGGATTTTCCTTATTTAAAATAGTCATATCGGATTCTAAAATTGATCCGCAAATTGGAAAAAAAAATAAAAAATATTCAGGGAACAACTCTACAGTGTGCTCCTCAAGGGAGACACTCTATTCGAAAAAATTAAAGATCTTAGTATTTAGTGTAAACCAAGATCACAAATTTGCATAAATGATACAAATTACAAAGACAATTTTAATGCTGAACACTGGTTTAACTTCCTTAAATACTCGTATCTAGGAGATGATCTCGTTATGAGAGTGTTATAATATTAGGATAATTTAAATCTTAGTGGCTTAAGGCCTTTTGATGAAAAGGTTAAGTGTGGATTTAGCGATAGACATACCATGGATTTCAAACAACTCCAGTCATCAACAAGCGCTTTCCCTGATGGTCTCTTTGCTCCAAGAACATTTGAGCCCTTGTCCCAACCAAATAAGAGCCTTCCAATCAAATCAACACTCTTGTCCAAATGTTCTCTATGAGCCATCTTCTCTGTCATCTCGTTTCTGAACGCAACCTTCTCCTCAGAGCCTTCGGTTGATCTCTTGTACTATTGAAAAGAATAGGGCAAGCATTATTTAACACATGCACACACATGTATACATCAAGAGAGGGAGAGTGAGAGGAAGAGAGATTCACCCGCTGCCAAAGAAAGAGTAGATCGGCATCTCTTTGGTTCACAACGTCCATTCTATTGGGTTGTAGAGGCAAGCTGTTATCAGAAAGATTTGCATTTGCTGGGTCAAAACCTTGGTAGAGGTACAACCTCTCAGATTTAATGCTTTTGTCACCATATTCCATGACATGAGAACCTGCAGTGTATGTGTTGTAGTTCGACGTTCGACTCTTTACCTGTGGTATTTTTTAGTTTACAGTGATTAATGACAAATTAACATAAAAAAGAGCAGAGCATTACATGTTCAAAGAGGAATAACTCCAAATATAGAAGTAAATGCAACCCATTGGAAAGGAAACATTCCTAAATAACCAAGTTATATAAAATGGTCGACTTGAATAATGCAAGAATCATCATTCAATCTATCTCATAAAATGGCTAATAGTGAAAACCTTTTTCGAGTCAAATGTGAAGTGCTTACAAATGTTGGTACAATGCGACAGTCTAAGTCGTTCAATCTAGAAATGCAAAGTTGCAAACCATTTTAGTTTCTCAAAAAAAAATAAAGAGGGCAACCATTTGCTTCTTAGTTATTTACAAAGTATTAGGTTCTACATTAAACTATGAATTCATCAGACTAGACAAACATTTGTACATATGGTACATTGACTTGGCAAATTGCAAATTCTAAGCACTAACAATTAGCTTTTATGGCAACAGTGTGAAAATCTTCCACAAGAAGCAGGACTTACTTATAGCCTTACATTGAGTCAAGTAAACCAACATATCACTCAATTGATGTGGGTTTTTGGTGCCTAGGAAATCAAAATTTACACATTTCTAGAAGCAAATATTTCTTCTAGTACTATACTACAACATTATCAAATGATATCTTCAAGCACACACTCAGGGTTTTGAAGACTGGTTATCTGTTACTCACCCTCACATATTGCTTTTGTATAGTTTCCTCCTTTAGATTGTGCGTTTCACTGCAAATGAAGACGAAACATGTAACCAATAAGTATATGAAAATTAAAGGAATATATGTGTCGAGGGCATAGGAAATAAGATTATATCCTCGTGCACTAGTACTATACTTCATATTCACTTTATTGATGCATAACTCGATAATTCATTATCCTTCTCTCTGTAAAATGTTAAAATTATTTTGGGATAATTTAGAACATACGAGGCATTATTAGTTAAGGGAATAAAAAGGAATTACTCCACATTAGTTCCTGTTAATAATTAACATACAATGGAGTGAATTCCACTTGATCATCAAGATAAAAGGTGGAACTAGTTTCCATACAAGAGCCCCATGATGATGATGATCAGACAGGGCATGAAAGCCTCCTTGCAATCATGTTTTTCAGGTTCAACTAGTCTCTCTATAGAACAAACAAAGGCAGCAAGATTGTCGAGGAGAACAGAGAGGTATAGGAACTAAGAATTTGGTAAACTCTAATACATGATATGTTAACAAGACCCAAAATTTTATATAGAGGGGCAGACAGTCTGAACACCTTGGAATGCCACTAGTCAAAGGGATGAGAGCTATGGGAGGGGAGAGAGGGATTACTCCCGTTTTGTTAAAAAGAAAGTCGACATTGGATAATCGAGCCCTTTTGGTTTTGTCCATAGTAAGTGAACATCATAAACCTGTGATTGAAAAAGCTAGCACCACAAATAAGCGGTTGCAAAATTGCCCATTTCACATAGAATTGCGCAAGTTGGATCATGATCGTTAGCTAGGCGAGTCCAGTTCCAGGGACCCCAAATCACCCTGGTTTTGGAGATGCTGCCCCAAACTACTTGAATAAGATGTCAAATGACAACTCACTCTTTGTTACTTGTTACTAGCCCAAAGATATGTTCCTTGGGAGAATATTTTCCATCCACTCCCTTGGGTAAACCTTGTCACGAAATATTTGTAGGACTCCACAGTAACCTCCTTAACCGACCCACCAACCCATAAAAGGAAAAGGAAAATAAAAAATAGACAGATTCTATACGAATAATGTCCTAACAATAGCTAGAGACTGTCAATGGACAATCAGATCCAAGTGTTTGAGAACTAAAAGAAATTGCTTTTTTTTTTTTAAAAGATACTCATATAGTGATTCCAATGGGATCCAAAAATAATAGATCGAATGAATCTTCAAAAGTACCTCTTTTGTATGAGTGACTGTGTGTAGAATGTGCTCCCTCAGGGGCACGGTAGGGGTGTTAGGGGTTTTAATGGGTTGGATCAGGGCCAAGTCGACCCGACCCGGACCTGACCTTGCTGGGTCCAAGTGGGAGCCAAAACCGACCCAAGCCCGGAAGTCAAGTTCTACATCTAGATACAAGGAAAATCTATATTATAAATGCATAATATACATATATATTCTGTACAAACAACAGGTTGGTTAGCTTGGGTCAACCTTGGTGGGACCCACTGACCCAACCTAATATGGTTGAGGATGTACCTAGACCTAATACGGTTGAGGATGTACCTAGACCCAACTTTGGCCAGGACTAGGTCATTTGGACTCCGTCTCGACCCATCAGGTCCAATATTTGGGTCCAAATCCAGAATTGTCAGGTCAACCAGGTAGGTTAGTAGGTTGACCTAACGCAATTGCCACCCTTGAGCTACCCTTGAGCATGGTGTACACATTCTATTAGGATTATTCTACTAAACTTGTTAAGAGAGAAACGAAACACACCTGTCTTCCATCCAGGCAACACTATATAGATCTCCTAGACATGTCATGAATTCTGGAGGTGGTGGTGGATCCATCCCCGGACAATACGTTCCCCAACTACTCTCTTGTGCATTTGAAGCTGTGGTGACATATATGTTGAGATCTTCAGTCATTAACCCTTCAAATATGCTCCCACTCTCACATGCTTCCACATATATTACCTACTCAATAGAAAACAGATTGTGCATTGAGCCATTGATTTTGATTGAACAATTAAGCATCACATTGAGAAAACATCTTTGAATCAACAAATTGGATTGTATGCCCCACCATTTCTTTGTATCCCTTAGACTTGTGTTTCTTCTTCAAAACCTCCATGAGATCATTGGCATACAAGAATGGCATATTTGGCATTCCTAACAAGAAAACAAGTTATGATGAGAGTATTTGGTACAATTTAAGGCCTAAATATGAATAGGGATTGCGTACAACGAGGTCACAATTATTCCCGCTTCTTAGATGTCAAGTGGATGGCTTAAAGTAAGTCACGAAGTCCGAGAACTTTCTAGTTTTATTTTGGAACTTTGTATCTAATCATTGACACTCTTACAACCACCCACTTTGAAATCTAAAGGACAAGAATGATATTGACCTCCTCGTACAAAAGATAAATAATCTTCTAGATAAATGGTCTTCTTGTAGAGGATCCCATATGACTAATAAAAGATAAAGCCAAATAAAGGCGGGGAAAGCAAAATTAACTGACCAAGTACACCAGGACCTCCATGATCAGAGTAGTAAATAAAGATCCTATCCTCAGCTTTGCTATTTATGACTTTGCCACTTCCACCAGTGACTGCACTATTGTTTCCCAAGAGGACTGCATACAAGTTCTTTGTATGAACTTGCTTCCCAGTATAGTCCTGTTTTACAAAAAAAAAAATTGCGCAAAATTGAATGCATATACTCTTAAAAGCAAAAAAAAACATGGAGAGTAATTGTGGTATCATAAAAGAAAGACCTTTGGTACACCCGCGTAAACATCTTCTCCTTGTGGGTGGTTTATGATAATTCCTTTCTTTGGATTGAATTCATTATAAGCAATGTCATCATGCATGAAAACTACAATATTCTCCTCTTTAAGACCACCCTTTAGAAGCAATTGATAGGCATGGCAAACGTCAGCCTACAAATCAAAACATGGAGCATAGTTAAAAACATGGAGCATGGTTAAAGACATGGAGCATGATAAATTCAGCCCTCAAAATGGACATCCCCATAGTAGAATACGCAACCCAATATGGGTTTAAGCATTAAAAAGTGGTAACAACTGCAAAAAAGGGAAATCTACACATTTATTCTATCGTACTTCAAATTTTTAAAATAATTATTTATTTTATATTTTAAATAAGTCCCACCTCAAATCTCGTATTGTTCTTAATTTTACTTACAGAATAAATTTATTAAAAATAAATAAATAAGTTTATATGAAGTTTCAACCTTATACCATTACAGTACAGCGCACATAAAAAATCCATAAAAAAAATGTTTTCTTATCCTGGAAAACACTCAAATTGATCATATTGAGGATATAAAAAGAAAAAAAAAAAACAGGATTTCACTAATGCATCATGTATATCTAGGCTGTCCATTTTCAAAAAATTTAAATAGGAAAAAAAAAGTTTCATATAAATTTTCATGCTAAGAATAATTATACAAAAAAAGAAACAAATAAATAAGCAAAGAAACAATTCTCAAGCTATCGACTATTGAGCTCCCCCATTATTCCAAAAAATAAAAATAAAAAATAAAAAAACTAACAGACAAACATAGACCATGCACTTGTCCTTTTACTTTTCTTATTTAAGTCACAAATAATCACCAGGGTGTGGTGAGCCTCCCCCCTCCATCACCATGAACGAACGGTAAATATAGCACCACAACGATACACGACTTATGCATGCTGAGATTTCCTTCCTTACCTGGTGCCTGTAATTGCCAAAACCAGAGGAACCGGCAACAAGAACGGCCCACCTGGTACCAACTCCCTCACCACCTTCTTTCTGACTCGGCATTCGAATCACCGAGTCGACCCATTCGTGGACTCGGACACCAAAACTTCGTTGCCGGAAAAGTAAGAGAGAGAGAAGCAAAAAGTAGAAGAGTGAGCTACGCCGATCGGATGTCGCCATCGGGAAAGGCCGGGCCGTCCGATGACGGATCACCGGATTTTAGAGAGGACGGGCTCGTAGCTATGGCGCGCGGTTCTTAAGCAAGAAGGCAATCAAGGGGTTTGCTTAGTAAGGGGTCATGGGTCTAACAAACCTCCTAATCCTACTTGGGTTCTCCTATTTTATTTGTTTTCTTTGTGTATATATTTTTAAAGGTTGTGGGTTTTATAGGGTAACAACCTTAAACATTCTAGTTAAGCCGCGCCTTCAAATTTTATCATAATATGTAATTTTGAAGTAAAGATTCTTTAAGATTATCTATTTTCATATATAATTATAAAATTTTAAACTCCAAAAATAATTAAAATATAATAAATCTATAAACAAATAAAAATCTAAAAAATGGATGGTCAAGATAATGTGTTGCAAGATGCATTATTCTTTATACTCAAAATCTTTTTTTTTCCATCTCGACATTGCGATGTCGAGATGATTAATTAAAAGGGTGTTTCAATATTAAAACAAAAGTTTTTGATGGAATTTTTATGTGCGTTTGAAATTCTACATTTAAAGTTGCAACCTTATATAAACTTTTACCATTTTTTATTGAATATTGTTGCTAGGTGAAAGGAATTGAGATATAAGGCTGGTAAAAGATTACGAAGTCTTAACTAAAGTTGTTGGAGATGAATTAAATGCGATAAGAAACGATTTTCTTTTTTATGTTTCATGAATCTAGAACCTGTATTATATTTTTACAAAAAAATGATTATTTTTAGGGTGTAGTTTCTATAAAGTTGCAACCTTAAATAATCCAATTAAAGGGCACCTCCGAATTTTATCATAATATGTAATTTTGGTATTAAAAATTATTAAGATTACCATAAAATTTGTTTTTATTTTTAATTATAAAATTTTAAATTCCAAAAACGCTTAAAGTCAAGTAGATCTATAAACGGTCTAGATAATATGTTACAAGATTAGTATTTTTGGGACTCAAAATATTTGCTTTTTCATATTCATATATCTTAATGTCGAGATGATCAAATAGAGAGTTTTTCAACATTAAAATTTGGATTTTTTATGTGTATCTTTAACTTTATATAAACTTTTTCTTTACTTTTATGATGTAGTTTTGAAGGAGATCTAGAGCGTGCATTCCATGGACATTTGTCACTTATTCTTTTAACTATGATTTCAGGTTGCTTGCTCCTAGTGTTAATTTTGATCAGTCTCCACGTCAATCTGGATTGCCTTGGCAAAAAATTAGTTAAAAACTAAAAATAAATAAAAGGAGGGATTAGGGTTAGAGACTTAAATCACCGAGAAATTGTTCAGGATAAACGATTCTCGATCGGGAGCTCTAGATTTTAAACATTAACTGGAGAAAATAAATTCTAAAAAATAAGTTTGTTTTTGCCTTCGAATCTAGTAGAGTTGGCAAAATTTCCCCGATTACGCAGTTTAAATGGTCATTTGAATTTTTAAAATACATGTTAAAAAGCAAGAAAAGAAAAATATGACACATGGTTATGAATGGTATAATGAGGGTTTTATGGGGTAAAAGAGTTGGTGAAGAAATAGGCAAGGTGGGCGTGAACACGTTTAAGCGTACATGCAAAGGGAGCTCGCGCCACGTAAAAGCGACGTTGTAACCTTCTCAAGCGATTCCCGCCACTTGCTAACGGTCCTGGGCCCACCCTTTGATCTATTAATACCCTTTATTTTATTTCAAATATCTAAACTGGCCCCCACGTATTCTTACCAAAAAAAAAAAAATTCATATGTGTCACCCTTTATTGATCTAGAAACTGGAAATATGTCGAATATTTGAAGGGATTGTGTACTATGACTATTTTTTATTATTATTTGAGAAATTTTATTTTAAATTTGAAAAAAATTTATATATGTGCGACGCTCTCAACCATCATAAAGTTTAAAGCTTTAAAAATAGTGTAAATAGTGTAGATCGCGAGAGATATATGAAAATTTTCGTAAATTAACTGCCAAAAAATACGTATAAAATATACTATTTCCAAAACTTGAAATCCATTTTTTTCACATGTCCATGCACCTTGATGTTGAGATGATCAATTTGATGATATTTAAGCAACAAAACAACTTTTTTTAGAAAAATTTTTGATGTAGGCTCAAATTTGATTGTTTAGAGCTTACGCTTTATATAAACTTTTCCCTAATTGAATGTATAAAAATAAAATTAAAATACATGTGTACTGTCAAAAGTGAGACATAAACATAAAATATAAAAAATATAAAAGACTATTTTTAATTGTGGATAATAAAATGAAATTTGTTTTCCTAAATTTTCCCAAACATGAAACGAATTGTATTATTCACACCCACCATGTTTATCCCTTTCCTTGGTTTCCTGCAGTAAGTAACGCCGAAGTAGGGAGGCACACCACAACATTCACCTTACAGAAAATGTGATAACAAAAACAAAATATGATAGAAAAAACGGTTGCGTTGCCACGTTCCTTTGGCTCACTTTTGTTTGTTACTCTAATTGAAATGTTAGAGGTGTGAAAGAGAAGATTAAAAACGGAAACAAACATAACAACAAAGTAAAAACAAATGAAGAAAATTGATGTAGAGATTAACGGAATGAAAGGCAAAAAGTATACAAAGTGGCCATTTAATTTTAGTACAACGACTCAAAGAGGTCATAATCACTCTTGTTCATCAAATTTTCAAATTGGAAAGTTATAAATGTATCATTGACTCCATTCAAAGTTCCAAAAAAATTTATCGAACTCCGTAACATACCCAAGGTATTTAATTTGATATCTAATAGCTAAGAGTGATTATGATGTCCCTATATCAATGGTAAATATTCTTGTAATTGTATATAATCTCAAAAAAAAGGTTAATTTCAGTTAAAAAAAAAATGAAAAAATGTGATTGAAAAAACACGTACTTCTCTTAAAATTTTGGATGTTTCGAGATTACAAGAATCACAACAGAGAGGAATAGAAAATCAAATATTTACTGTGTTCTTGAAAGCATTGTGACATTGACTATAGACAAGTGTGTTACCCCCACATGACAAATGAGGTTTTCAAAAACTTAAAGAGGGGAAACTCTAAGGTAAGAGATAATACTATCTTTTTTGCATAATTCCAACTAAAAAGAAAATGTCATTTTCTTAAAGCACTAAGCTCCAAACAATGGAAAATTACATGCATAAAATAGTAGGAGATATTATTTCGATCATGAGGGAGCTACAAATCTACCAATGACTAAATGACAGAAATTTAGTTTTTCAGGGAGTAATATTTAGTAAACGACAGAAACAACCCTCTTTCATGGAATAAGGTCCCGTTTGTACAGTCCAACAACTCCATTGAAGGTGGTGTGGGTTAATATATATATCCATATCTATACGGATACATATCTATGGGTATGCATCTCTTGGGTACAAATATGTATACACAACACATATGTAATGTACCCAAGAGATGTATACCCATACACCCATACAGATATGTATCTATACAGATACAGATATATACGCTAACAGTGTGTTCTCAGCCTCGTATTTGTACCATGCGATTGATAGAAACCGTTATATCGAGGATAGGCCTTCAATAGCTAAGTAATGGAGGTGTAAAGTTCCCCATCGAGTCAAAACTTTTTTATGGCTGCTAGGCTTTAAGAGGCTCCTCACCATTGATCGTCTGTGGAGAATGGGGTTCATCCTTACCAATGTTTGTTTGCTATGCAAAAGTGAAATAAATTGACCATCTCTTCATCCATTGTCCTTTTGTCTCAACCTTGTGGGATTGGCTATTGGGTTCTGCCAATTGGATTGGCCCGAGACATGCGGAGATACACGACTGGTTGCAACAACTGTGGACCCCTCCTTTCTCTGCTCTGGGAGTTCAGCTTTGAAGGATTTAAGTTCTTGCAGTCTGTTGGAACCTATGGAGGGAGCGGAATTTGAGAACATTTGAAAGTCGCAATACAGAATTGACTTCTTTTGTCGAAGCTATCCAGCGATCTATTGCTTTCGGGGTGTACTCCTTTCTATCCCTTAAAGTTGTCCCCAAGCCCATGATTTTCTCTCATTACTCACAATTGTTGCTTTTCAGTCCTACCAAATGTTTAGTCTAGAAAGCGCCTCCAGTTGGATGGGTTGAACTTAACTTCAACGACATCGTGTAGTGTCATAGTGTAGGCTATGGGGGCCTCCTTCGAGATCATTTGGGCGAAGTCCTATGGACATACTTAGGGAGACTGCATCAGTATGAGGCCAATGAAGCTGAACTCTAGGTCGTGAGAAAGGGTGTTGCCCTTTTGGACACCTTGTTCCATAGAGTGATCATCGAGGGAGATTAGGCAAATGTCATTTCTTGGTGTTCTTGCTCGAACTCCACCCCTTGGAGGTTGAGCGGCCTTATGGACGAAATTCTTCCAATGCTTAATTTGCTTGAGGTCACGTTCTCTCAAGTTGTTCATAGATTTAATTATGTGACACACTCCTTGGTAAATGAGGCCACCTCTTGACTGAACCATGGTCTCCCACTCTCTTCTTTTCTCCTCTTTCTCTCTCCTCCTTTTATTTCCTTTGTCTCTTTCTCTTTTATTTTTTCTTTTTTTTCCCCTCGTAGCCTTTTCACTATCTTAATAAAGCTCGCTTTTTCTAAATAAAAAACAACAACTCCATTGAAGGATTGAATTATTGGAGTTAATTGTAAATAGTTTTCTTAATAGAGTTGTGAGCACTTTGGTGGCTTTTTCCTAATATGCATGAAATAAAAAAGCTCCTACTCTTGAATAGTAGAGCAGACCAAACCATGTTCCGTTATACCCCTAAATGGGTTGTGGAGTAAACGAACTTCCTCGTTAATAAGTGATTCCAAACGGGGCTTATAAGTGCCATCCAAACCAAAATGGAGTTTAACAAAAATGAGTCACGAATTAGGGTATATGAGTTTAGGGTTTTCGAAAAAAGTTCAAATAGGTTGCTGACCCAATTAAGTTGAGAAGTTTTATTTAATGCATTACTACCTTAAAGCTTGAAAGATGGAGGTTACCTATTGCTCAACAATTTGGCTCAAAGATATCTTTTAAAAACAAAAACTTTTCTATTTTTTTTAGAATTGAAATGTTTTGTTCTGGAATGTTTAAATAAGTTCTGGATATTGATTTTGATAACCTGTTGGAATGTTAAGAAAGTTTTGGGTACTGTGTTTGATAACAAATATATATTAATATTATATATTTATATTATACGTAATAATATAATATATTATATTATATTATTCATACAAATTATTATTTATATTATATATTATTGAAATATAATTTATATATTAAATATATTATTTAATATACAAATAAAATATTACATAATATATTATGTTGTAAATAGTTAATAGTGAATAGTAACAAAAAACGTTATGAAAGGTTAAGTTCATACCCCTATAGGGACTTAAACTTTCATGTTTTAATAAAGAAATGGAAACTTTGTTAGAAGATGTCTTTCATAAAGAAATAAAAGTTCTTGCACGTCAAACGCAAAACTTTTACCAAATTGGAAAGATATCTTTCAGCCAAACAGATATACCCTCAGGGAAAAATAATAGGAAAAGTATAGAATGAAAGCTTTTACCTTGGTACAAGGTGGTCATGGTTAATCTTGACTATTGGATATGAAATTGGGTAGCTACATTTATTCCATTGACCAAGCTCAAATTTCAAAAGAAATTTTCTCAAATTTTGTACCACAGCCAAACTATCAAATTTCACATCAGATGGTTGTAAGTAAATATGACCACCTTGTATCAAAAGTAAATGGTCTCATTGTATACAATCCCAAAGTAATATAATAGAGATAAACAATGACTATCAAATATCCATTCGACATAACCATATACATCCCTAAAATCGACTAGGGACATATTTTATCCTTCTCCTAGTTTATATACGGAAAGGATTCAAGTTAATTAACCAAGCCGAATGACTCGGCTAAGTCCACTCAGACTAGGCCATGTGGGTTATGGTTTATGGGCCTTTATTGATTTTTTTCGATCCTAGAACTTGTGGGTTATGGGTTTTCGATCCTAAGACTTGTGGGTTATGGGTTTTTAGTTAATTTTCGATCATAGGACTTGTGGGTTATGTGTTTTTAGTCAGTTTTCGATCCTAGGACTTGTAGGTTATGGGTTTTTGATCCTAGGGTTTTTTAAGAGCTTTTTATCAGAGTCAGTTTTCGATCCTAGGACTTGTAGGTTATGGGTTTTCAATCCTAGGGTTTTTTATGGGCTTTTTATCAAAGTCAGTTTTCGATTCTAGGACTTGTGGATTATGGGTTTTATGAGTTTTGGGTTTTCGATCATTGGGTTATGGGTTTTTAGTCAGTTTTCGATCATAGGACTTGGGTTATGGGTTTTTAGTCAGTTTTCGATCCTAGGACTTGGGTTATTGGTTTTTAGTCAATTTTCGATCCTATGACTTATGGGTTATGGGTTTTCGATCCTAAGACTTGTGGGTTATGGGTTTTTAGTCAGTTTTCGATCCTAAGACTTGTGGGCTATGGGTTTTCGATCCTTGGATTATGGGTTTTTAGTCAGTTTTCGATCCTAGGACTTGTGGGTTATGGGCTTATGGGTTTTTGGTCAATTTTTTATCTTAGGACTTGTGGGTTATGGGTTTTTTATGAGCGTTTTATCAGAGTCAGTTTTCGATCCTAGGTTGTGAGTTATGGGCTTTTTATCAGAGTCAGGTTTCGATCCTAAGACTTGTGGGTTATGAGCTTTTTATCAGAGTCAGGTTTCGATCTTGAGACTTGTGGGTTATGCGCCCACCACTCTTCCCCTTCCCCTTCCTCTGATGATGTTAACAAATAAATGAAAAAAAAAAAAAAACCATATGTTCATCAATGCCAACAATCTATATTCTTTTGGAATAATTTACTCTATTCCATAACACAAATAAAATAAAGGAATGTGTCATATTCATCTAAAATTATAAGGAAGCGCTACATGTTCAACGAAACAAATGGTCAATCATCTCTCTCCTTGATTTTCTCTTTATATCTATCTCTTCAATTTTCCTTCTCTATCTCTCTCCCCACATACTCCCTCTCTTTCTTTAAGGTCCCTTGCCTTTCTTTCTCTCTATAAATAAGGTCCCTTATTGTAACAACCTACGTGCTGTAGTTATCTCAATTTAATATTGTAAAATAGGTTCCCTATATCATTATGTCATGAAAGCCTTTTTTTAACTAATTGGGGTTGGCTATACGAATACCGATCCACTATTTTGCTATATTAAGGGTCATACCCTCAGTGAAACCATAATACCTTATATCTTTTTTGACCTATCTGTTGCACTTTTTAATCTTTCATCTTGAACTAACTCGTTTACACATGGCCAACCCACCTAAGTCTGCTCTATCTCATCTCATCGCCTTGTATTCTACACCTCATTTTTTT